CAGCCGGCCAGCTCTAATCTCCATGCCTGTCTAACCCAAGTGCAGAGGGAACATGGCAGCAGGGGTGACGATGGCCACGTGTCCCTGCCCCCTCCCAGGGCCACCACCGCCAACGCTGATTGCCTAGAACAGAGGTCTTCACTTTTTTTTTTTTTCTTACATAACCCTTTAAAAAACTCTAGCTTTAAAAGACTACATATAAGCCGTGCTCAGTGGCTCAGCCTGTAATCCCACGCCTTTGGGAGACTGAGGTGGGTAGATTGCCTGAGCCTGCGGGTTCGAGACCTGCCTGGGCAGTGAGACCTCATCTCTACAACAAATCAAAAAATCAGCCGGGCGTGGTAGCGCATGCCTGTAATTCCGGCTACTGGGAAGGCTGAGGCGGAGGGACCGCCGGAGCCCAGCAGGTCGAGGCTGCGGTGGCCGGGAGCGGCCACTGCACTCCAGTCTGGGCGACGGAGTGAGACTCCAACTCGAAAAAAAAAAAAAAGACTACATATAAAATTCTTGGCCAGGCTCGGTGGCTCAGCCTGTCATCCCAGCACTTTGGGAGGCCTAAGCGAGTGGATTGCCTGAGCCCATGGGTTTGAGATCAGCCCGGGCAACTTGGTGAGACTCCAACTCAAAAAAAAAAAAAATTCTTTGTCATAATTTTGAAGTTGCTCAGAATTCATTTTCTGGTTTAGTGTAAATACTGACCTTTAAAAATAGAACGGCGATGGATCAAGTGGCATGTAAATACTTTAATTGATAAGCTTCACCATCCATCTTAAATAGTAAATTATATTTAATATTTGAAAATTTCACATTTTCACTTTCATTCCTTGAACATCAGTTTCCATTCTACTTCTGCTACAGGGTCTTACCTGTTTTTGTTTTGTTTTGTTTTTTGAGTTGGCATTTCCCTCTGTCACCCTGGCTGGAGGGCAGTGGCATGCTCCTGGCCACTGCAGCCTCAACCTGTTGGGTCCTTCTGCCTCAGCCTTCCAAGTAGCTGGAACTACTGGCGCGCACTACCAAACCCGCCTACTTTTGGGTTTATTGTAGAGACAAGGTCTGGTCTCGAACCTGTGGGCTCAGGCAATCCATTCGCCTTGGCCACCCAAAGAGCTGAGTTGCAGGCTGAGCTACCCATCCACGCTGAATTGCATCTCTTAATGAGTCGAATGGTGTTGGTGTTTATCATTAGCATGTATCTAAAGATAAACATATATGATTTACTACTAAAATGTGATGAAATTCAGCATCAATTTTTAGTCCTGTTGTTCTGGTTTTTGTAGATGTGATCAGAGAAGCCTGGTTCACATAAATCAGAAATGGAAATGGTCAGTCTTGCTGCAGCAGTGTTGGTTGTCTTGGACTCCGTCCAAGTCATATGCTCCAAATCATATTCACCCAACTAATAGGAAAAATTATTTTTTGTTCCTTTATTTTTGTTGAACACAAATAACTGAAAATCATCCGGCGGGGCACTGTGGCTCAAGCCTCTAATCTCAACACTTTGGGAGTCCGAGGCGAGAGGATTGCCTGAGTCTGCGGGTTTGAGACCAGCCTGGGCAACTTGGCGAGACCTCGTCTCGACAGCAAATCAAAAAATTAGCCGGGTGTGGTGACGCACGCCTGGGTTCCAGCTACTTGGAAGGCTGAGGCGGATCACCTGAGCCCCGCAGGTCAGGCTGCAGTGGCCAGGAGCGTGCCCCTGGCTCCAGCCTGGCGACGGAGTGAGACCCCGACTCAAGAAACAGACTTCGGGGCGCGCTGGCTTCTGCCAGACTTTCTGTGTCTGTCTTCCGACTCGGAGGCCACTCGCGCCGGGACCTGCCTCAAGGTGCCTTCAAGGGGCAAACGTGGACGAGTTGTTTCTCTGGCTCTCGGGGCTTACTCCTCCCACTGAGGCTCCACAAAGTTATCAGGTGCCTCGGTCCGGTGTGCAGAGTCTCCCGAAACCTGGAGGCGCGCGCATACCCGCCCGCGCCGCATCCCGCGTGGCCACGGCGGG